TTACCCGGACCAGACTAACCTAGTTAGGATGGTAAAAAAAGTTGGGTCCCTTCGTTTAAAGCCAGGACCGGAGAGAGCGTTGTCTCTCTAGAGGGAGTGTTGTTGTTGCCTCCGCCTCCTTTTTCTCTTCTCTAGAGAGACAAACGCCTCCTCCGGTCGGCTTTAAACGTAAGGGAACCACACTTTTTTTTTTACCCTCCCTAACTGTTTTAGTCTGTCCTGGTGGAAGTACGGGGACGGTTGGGACACTAACCAGTCCCGGTACGGTTCCCTTCGGTCTCCGCCGACCGAAGGGAACCGAAATGTAGGTTAGTTTAGTGTAGTTAATAAATTTCACAACGTCACCTGCGCAGTATTTGTGCCTTCTATTCGACGCAAGCCAGTACCCAAAGGGAGGTACCCTAAATATTATTATTACTGTTTAGCTGTTTTTAATGCGTTACCCTATAAGAGGTATTCTAAAACCGTTTATCGAGCTTTTTTTCCAGTCACCTATTTTGCTTGGACAAAACCATTTACGTGCAAAAACAAGTTCAGCACTATATAGGTCGTAACAGGATGGGAATGACTAATAATTAAATAGCTAGTATTTAGATTAGTTGATCTTCATATTACTATCGCAGTGACGTGGTCGGAGATTTCGGCCGGCAATCTCTTCACCCGTTCGTTGCTTTCGTTTCCAACGTATAATCAGCCCTCCCACCTCTAAGCCTCATAAATTACGTTTTTATTAACATGACTTTGAAGGCGACGTTCGTCCGTGATGTTTATTTTTGACTACTGTCCGGGTTACCGGGTTTTGACCTCGGACACATTGGTCGCTCCTTGTTCCTCGCTTGGTTTTGCAATTTCCAGAGGACTAAAATGCAAACACCTTACTTACCCGAATAACTCTCAAATACCCGACCTCTCATCGCACCCCTTGGGACAGCCTGTACGTCCGTATTATCCGTGGCACACATTCAGCCGACCCGTAGACATACTATGTTTACCACACATTTTACTAATTGGGCCCACCGCACATTAGTAATATGTAACCAATCGCAATAATGTTAATTGGTCGAGTGGTGGGCGGGGGCTGGCGTTTTCTTTCCTGCCATTAATAACCGAAGGGATTTAAATAACAGGGCGTGCGTGCGATGGACCACTCTTCACTAAAAGAGGTCCCTTAATATCTTGTCTCATCTCTTTTCGGTTCTTTCAAAGTCACTCCGCTCCTCGGTGCTCCCCTCTTTCCTCTCCCTCTCATTTTAGCCTTCCCACATTGTTTTTTCTTTCCCTTTTCTTTTTTTTCATTTTTGTTTATTGTTTTTTGTTTTGGTCTGTTTTTTGTGGTGTCGTTTCCTTGTTCTTCCTTTTCTTGTTAACCTGTGATTAGTCAGGGCCATGCCAAGGGAAGCCAGAGGCGGCTGGCTTCCCTTGCCTCCCCATCCAATCAAATCACATCAAATGTATTTAAAAGTGTTGCAGTGACGCGTCATAAAACACGGAAGTAAGCTGCGTTCGGTCATGGGTTTCCCTCATGGATTTATAATATGACAAATCGACAAAATAGCAATGGGATTTCTCCATAGGATTTTGGAAAATAGCTCGAAAAAAGTTCAGTGGAAAACGAACCTGTTTGGTAAATGCACGTTTTGTTCAGTCGGATAATATCCACATGTCTACCCTACTATTATAATTTTCGAATCATAAATCTAATCAATAGAAGATAGATAGCGTCACTGCACCACTCTCACCGCCGTTAGAAAGTGGCAAGCAACTGAAGCAAGTGCAATTATGGAGGGTGGAGATTCTGAGTATTTAATCAAAAATAATTGTACTAAACTTCCGCTGCAGCAGCAACAACAAATACAATCTGATGACAGGCCAATGCCCAAACTGGAGCTGTGTACAGCGAGGAACAAAGGAGCGAACCCAAAACGTTAAAGGTCTCCTGATTTAGTTTGTGAATGAATGCTTATTAGAGTTTGGGCTGGAGAGTGCGTGGGGACCTGTCGGTTAGATAGCAGGCGTGTGTAAGTCCTGCATCTGTATGATACAAATGTGTGTAAAATGATACCGGGTGCTGTAATCACTCATCTGGTTACGTTATTACATTAACCACCACACCCCCCTTCCCCCCCGACCCAAAAGAAAGGACGTATTATTGGCTTCCCCTAATTTTTTCCCCACGCCACGCTACTGGTGAAGTGATTTCTCCAGGGAATAAAAGCAGAGAGAGAGAAAAGCCAGAAGTCAGTGAGCGAGGAGCCACGAGGGAGAAAAGAGAGGGAGGAGTAACGGAGGTTCTCTGCACTCACTGGAGATCCTGTCCGACTCCATCTTGAAGTTGGAGCCGTCGTCCCCGGAGACGCTGTGGCCCTCGGCCCCCACGCCGCGGCCCCTCGGCCCCATGGAGGAGCTCCTCCTCCGCTCGTGGATCTCGTCGGAGATCTTCTCCAGGTTCCTGAGCGCCATCTTGTACTCGCCTTTAGCCCGAGAGAGCCTGGCCTGCCGCTCGTCTACGGTCCTCTTCAGGTTCTGGGGAGGATGGAGGTCATGAGAACAACGCTGACACAGATTCTCTCATTCTGCAGCCACAGCATCGATATGTCAACCTTTCAGTGCGTTTGTATGGAAGTGGACATGAGACCGAATAATTTACATTGAGGAGAGAACAACGCTAAGATAAGATAAGAAGTACTTAAATGATCCCAATTTGGGAAATGTTTGCGTTGCAGCAGCATAAAAAGACCATTGCACAATGTTACGGACATTATGGTATTAAAGCTTAACACAGTGTCATCCTAATGACATGTAACTTTGAACAAAGTGGCATCCTGGGAATGGCACAGAAATGGATGTGTGATACAAAGGGTTTTATGACACAACAGAAAAGACAGGGGATGAGGAAGCTAGCTGCAACACCCAACTGTTCTTTGTAGGGTGTGAGTTTTGCTTATTGTGATCGAACACCTTGTTGTGTTGTTGTGTAAATGATCTTTGTTGTCTTCCTATGAAACAGTCTGGCACACACAGAGCACTCAGAACGAGTCGTTATGCTTGCAAGCATTCTTATATATATATTATATTGTGTTCTCTAGACAGCAGCTGATTTGAAGTTGCTACGACATCAATACAAATCTCAAGAGAAATAAAATAGCATTAAAAAAAGTAGAAAATATACATGCTGAATTACAAAATATAAAGCAGGATATCATACATCAGTATGTGAGGAATGGAATATAATATATTAGATTGAAACTAACATCCAAAGAATCGATATTATATATAATATGCAAACTTTAGATTCAGAGCATTTCTACCTACGTTACGGATGGAAGTGGAGATGAGGCTCATGCCGAATCATTTACATTTAGAAAACTGAATTTGCTGTACTTAAAGGTGGGGTAGGTCATTTTGGAGAAACCAGCTCGAGTGCGCTAGAATTTGAAAATACACAACCGGAGAAAATCTGCCACTTCCTCACAGAGCCCCTCCTCCAACACACACGAACGCGCACATGACCAATGAGGGCACGAGATAAGTTTGTGCACAGATGGAAGGCTGACAGGCAGGTAGGCCATCCAGTTACTTTAGCCGGGCCGGCTCAGATGATTGGTCGTGCTTTTTACAGCGCTACGGCTTCCACAGATTTGTATGTATTTTTTGTCAAAGCACTTCAGATATTCATTGCTATCGGGATGTTAAGAGCATTCCATGGAATATAACAAAACGTGTTTCTGAAGTGAATTACCTACCCCACCTTTAAATCTGACTTAAACTAGATGTAAATATATTTTTGTTTACATTTTAATGGTGAGTCTTTGAGGCCATGTGTCTACAGAGAGCCTTTTTTTAGCATACATGCAGTGGGGGGAGCTCTCCCAGCATTTAATGAAAAAAAAACCCTGTCCCCAACGCTTTATTTATTGATACTATTTCAAAGATATTGAAGTGACTGTTATTTTGAATATATTGATTGTCCTGCTTTTATGTATGTCTTAATGTGTGCATATGTACAAATGTGTCAGTTGATTGTGTATATATAGGTATATAGATGTTTTTATATGTGTATTTTGTATTCCTTGAGATTGTGGGAAACGGTATTTCGATCTCTTTGTCCGTACACACGAACTGAAAGATTGACTATAAAGTTGACTTTGACCTCAAAAAGATAGAGCCATAAATGAAAAGGATATCAAATGTAAAATTAAACGTAGCCACAGCACGGCTTCTCGGGAGAGTCAGCTGTTTTCTGAGTGTTTAGCTGAATATATTTAACCTCTGGTCGAGCGTCACAGCTTCATAAACATCTGCGGAGAGAACATCGTACTCATTGTGACCTTCAGAGGAGAACTCAAACACAGCGTCACGTACCTCCAGCTGCAGGTAGTACTTGGCCTTCATCTCAAAGTAGGGCCTGCAGAGGAAGAGGGAGGAAGAGGAGGAGACGGTTAGAGGAGAGACAGAGTAACCCAGAAAACAAGCAGTACCCACAGCATCACCATGGTAACCTGGAGGAGGAAGAGGAGGAGAGAGTGGGGGATTAACAGCTGAGGAAACACACAGCGATCTGCAGCTGAAAACACAATGAGGACAAGAAAACAAAGACTCTGAATGTCAAGGCTTTAAGTAAGTATTTTAAACTTGAAGAAAGTATATTATAAACACTACATACTGATATACACCTGAACACCAGCAGGAGAGGACTCTTTAAAGTAGAGACACTACATACTGATATACACCTGAACATCAGCAGGAGAGGACTCTTTAATTATGGAACATTTTATAATATAAACTAAAGCTTTACTGAAGGACAGGTTCATAAAGGTTCCCCTAAGCTGCAAACATCCTCTTACTCAGCAGGGAAGTTACATTTCCTGACAGCATTTAAATAAAACAAGGCAGACAGTGAGAGGTTTTCATCTGTGCACAGAGACCGGGGGCTTTAACGTCCTTAGCTTTAATTTAGGGTTTATTCTTTTCAGGTATATATATTTGTAATATGATAAATTCTTCAAATGAAAAACACCCTGCAGTGCAAACAGTGTGCAGTTGAACCACTTGTTATACTTAGTTAAAGTACATCTAGATGCTTATTTGCATGTTATCCCCAACATTTACACTTAATGTGACCACTGTCTTTCTGCAGAAGAACTTAAAATGTATTTTAATTTCAGATAATATTTCCAAAATGTAGGTTTTTTTTTCAGTGACGAATCAGTGAAGAACTTGAACATGTTTTACATCTCAAATACGTGTCTGTCAGTCGATGAGAACCGTAAAGTTTCGAATTTTTTGAACGTGTGTAAGAAATTGGCTCAATCTTGTTCAGAAATACTGAAATATTGCAGATTTTTTCTACGTTTTCATCTCGAATAAGTCACTGGAGCAGAACTGATTCTGGGTTTTGCCACAGCGGCTAAATGGTGTCCTTAAACTAGTGAAACTGCAGGAGGACGTCACATTGTGAGAGTCCAGATGAACCCAGACTTCCCCATCACCCCATGACTGTTTCACATACACACACAGGTAGAAGTGGTTTGGTGTCTCTGCTTCAGGGAGAAACCACTTTCTTTCAGAGGAATAGAGAAGAGAAACCTGCTCTTATAACCGATCAGGTGCTGAACACTGATCCGACCACGTCAGGGCCGAACAGCTGGATGTGACGTTCAGAAAACCAGAAACCTCAAAGTAACAAACACAGTTTCACTTCACAACATGGTTTCAATACAGAGCGGAGACGAGTTCCTGGACAACAATCCTCGAGTGTTTTAATGTGAACAGGACAATAGATATGTCGCGTTGTTGTCGACACCTCGCTGTGACAGTAACATAAGTCCTAAAAGAAATCCAGAGGAAGCTGAAAATATGAATATGTAGTATATCTCCATTTAGTGATTTTAAATAAATACTTAGATAAAGTGGATTATTTCCTAAAGACCCAGAATAGTCTTCTTTAACCCTGGAATACGCTTGACTATTTGGCCTAAACTTTAGTTTTTAAAATAGGATTTTGAGTTTAACTAGTTTATCATTTGTATACAAAGTGTAAGACTTAAAGGAGCTTATTTACAGGCTTTAATGTTAAAAAAGGTAATGTATATTTTAAAGAGGAGGCTTAATATAAGATGCATTTTTACGAAAAAACCTCTGATACAACAGCATTTTAAAAGACTCAAATCTTATATAAACGTACGCTTTTTTGGAAGTAAGAAAAACTTTTATGCTCACATAACGTCTCCATCATTTGAGGATAAAAATCTATTTTTTTAAATCGCTGCTTTACAAAAAAAGGCATACCATTTTGAGCTGATCTTTGATAACAATACATGAAATTGTCAAATAAGAGAACATTTCTTAGTAAAAAAATACAAACTAATTGTTAGAAATTCTTCACTTGTCCTAACCTTCCTTCTCTATATTTCCAAAAGTGTTTTTCTCTTTTAAAAAGTGGCCCTTAATCTCCCAAAACAACCAGGTGTTACAGGTGAAAATGCTCTCAGCTGCCTAAGTGCTTTTCTCTCTGCCTCATTATTAACAATCATTTATCCGTGATGCGTTCGCTGGCAGTGGGACAGCAGACACTTACTTGGACTTGCTGATGGTGCGTTTGAGTTTTTTCTCCAGCTGCTTCATGCGGTTGATGGCCGCCGTATATTTGGCCGCCGTCTCTTTGTGCACCAGCTCGCTCCTCGTCTTGGTATTCTCCGCCTCCATCACCTGTGACAGCCAATCAGAACTCAGCATCAGCCAATCATTCCCATTACATAATATATTATACATATTTAGTCTTTTAAGTGTCCCATTGACTTCACATCGCAGTGTAACAAAAGGGTGACACGTGTAAAAAAAGTGAGCAAGCAATAATGAAATAAAAACGGATTAAAATAAAACAGAATGCAAAAAATAAAGACATAAATATACACATACACACAAATATTCATCAGCTAACTAAAGCCGGTGTGTCAGGGAACTCAAAGTGTCAGAAAATAAAACCCTCTCTCTTTTCCTCCGTACCCACATCTCTAAAAACGGGGGAACAACGGAGCTGATCCAGATTTGCGATCGATATGACGTAACATCTGAAATGTGGGCGGGCTCTACACCCACGGGCCAATCAGAAACGTCGCTATCAGAAACAATGAGACGTGTTTTGGACGTAATGGTCGACAGGGCTGAAACAGAGGGATATGAGGGATGTCTAAAATGTTAGATCTGTTTGGTATTTTGAGCAAAACACATCATAGACATGTTTTTTATATATTTGTATTAGGGCTGTCAAGTTAACGCGTTAATAAATAAAATAATAAATTAAAATTAAAATTAACGCCACTAATTATTTTAACGCGATTAACGCATGTGTATTTTTTGTCCTCGGCCGCCCCGTAGTTTCAGAGCGCGTCGAGTTTAAAATACCATCTACAAGCTGATGCTGACAGCCCCGCTCCTGCCGCCCGCTTGCGGCAGACCACACTTCCACACTGGCCATCGGGAGGACCGGGAGGGTGTGTGTATGTGTGGCGCGAGAGAGAGGCCTTACGTGTATTGTTGTTGTTGTTGTTGTTGTTGTTGTTGTTAGCATCTGGTGCTAGCTAGCTGCCCTAACGGATATAAGGAGCTGTTTAAATGAAAACAGAGGAGCGACATTTCGCCGACAACTGCGCCGAGCACTTGACTTCATGCAGGCAGCCAGAGCCGGTCATAAAGAGAGATAAATAAAGAGAGTCATAAAATGTGCCGAAAAATAACATGATAGGAGACCTTTGAAGCAAAAAATATCTAAATATAGGAAAATAATGTACAACAAATATATGAATCAGCCAACTGAACCCCCTCTGGTTTCCTCACCCGCTGCGTGGCGTGGTTCAGCATCTCCTGCCAGGCGGAGTCAAACTGCCGGTGGTCCTCCTCCAGGAGGCGCTGCTCCGCCAGAGAGATCGTCTCCTTCGCCGCCCGAAGAACCTCCGACGCTCTCTGGAAGTCCTGAGTGGAGCTCTGGGCCTCCAGCTGGGCCTGAGGAGAGGGAGGGGGGCGTCACAAAACTGATGAGGCATCGGTTCTTGCCGTTACTCTCTGTCAAAGGTTCTATGAGTTTTTATAAAAGTGTCATGTATTATTATTAAAATTATTATTAAAAACTGACGAGTCATCGGTTCTTTAATGGTTTCAGTGACTCATCATTTAAGCGTCTTTGAGCATTAGGAAAAGCACGATAAAAATCACATGTATTATTATCATTCTAGGAGTTTAATCCAGAGGAGGCAGAAGTACTCAGATCTTGTACTTGAGTAAAAGTAGAAGTACTCAGATCTTGTACTTCAGTAAAAGTAGAAGTACTCCGATCTTGTACTTCAGTAAAAGTAGAAGTACTCAGATCTTGTACTTGAGTAAAAGTAGAAGTACTCAGGTCTTGTACTTCAGTAAAAGTAGAAGTACTCAGATCTTGTACTTGAGTAAAAGTAGAAGTACTCAGATCTTGTAGTAAAAGTAGAAGTACTCAGATCTTGTAGTAAAAGTAGAAGTACTCAGATCTTGTACTTGAGTAAAAGTAGAAGTACTCAGATCTTGTGAGTAAAAGTAGAAGTACTCAGGTCTTGTACTTTAGTAAAAGTAGAAGTACTCAGGTCTTGTACTTTAGTAAAAGTAGAAGTACTCAGGGCTTGTCCTTGAGTAAAAGAAGAAGTACTCAGGTCTTGTACTTTAGTAAAAGTAGAAGTACTCCGATCTTGTACTTCAGTGAAAGTAGAAGTACTCAGGGCTTGTCCTTGAGTAAAAGAAGAAGTACTCAGGTCTTGTACTTTAGTAAAAGTAGAAGTACTCCGATCTTGTTCTTGAGTAAAAGTAGAAGTACTCAGGTCTTGTACTTGAGTAAAAGTAGAAGTACTCAGGTCTTGTACTTGAGTAAAAGTAGAAGTACTCAGATCTGCATTCAAAATGTTCCTCAAGTAAAAGTAGAAAAGTATTCTCATCACAATATAGTGAAAGTAGCGACAGTAAAAGTAGTCATTGTGCAGATTGGTCCATTTCAGAATAATATATATGATATGTTTTATAATGATTGATCATGAAAGTGTTCTCAAAGCTGGTAAAGGTGCAGCTAGTTTGAATGACTTTGTATACTGCAGGGTAGCTTGTGGATTTACTCCAGGTGGAACTAAAGTCTGATTTAACACTTGATTATATTTCACATCATTCATCCACATCTGTGAAGTAACTAAAGGGATTAAATACATGGAGTGGAGTAGAAGTACACCATGTACCTCTGAACTGTAGTGGAGTAGAAGAACAAAGTAGCAAAACATTGAAATACTTAAATAAAGTAAAAGTATCTCAAAATTGTGCCCAAGTATAGTACTTGTTGAGTTTATGAACTTAGTTACTTTACACCATGTGGCTATAAAGATAGAAAGACTAAGCCTTGCACAGAGGCATGCAAATACAAGGTCT